GATTTACAAATTTCTATAAAAGGACGTGCCATCTGAGCTTTGAGATGTCAATTCGAACATTCTTAAAAAATCAAAATGTCTATTAAGATGGAAATGCCCAAGATCGAACCCCAAGATGAAGAAAGGATGAAAATGCTTTCAAACATTTTAATGTATACCTGTTCGTTATCTACGGATGAGATTAAAGATCTCTATTCAGTTTTACAGGGATATTGTTTGGGACTTGGTGATTTCAACGGATGGGATTGGGCTTGTCCCGAACTTCCAACGATATACGAGCTGGAAGATGAGTCTTCATTTCAATCCGAATCCATGTTGAAAAAAACTTTTAACGAGTATTCGATGATTGGTAATTGGTGCGATGCGTGTAACAAAATTTCTGAGGAAACTCATACCCACATATACTGCTCTGATTGCGATCGGGTCTATGAACCATTTTGCGGTTTGTTAAAGAATGAATGTATTTGTGATTTAATACCGGTGGGAGAGTGTTTTCCGTTGAAACAAGATTTTGAGAAATTTTTATTGGATAATAATGTTTGTGATATGTCAAATCATCAATGTAAGGATTTTTGCGGTTGCAAGTTTGTTTGTGGTTTAACGCGTCCAATTGGTTGTTCTGTTTGGAATAAGAAAATTGACTATGAAATGTGTAATTGGCATTCTAATAATTTGGATAATGTCTCACACGATTGTATAGGAAAGGTTTCGCATGGATTCATCAAAAAATGATAATTTGTAATTGAATTTTTATTTTTATTTTTTATTTTCATTTTATCTTAAAATAAATACTTTTTCCTCATCCAGTGCATGCGCACCGGGATGAGGGTTTAATTACGTAACTGAATTATGGAAGAAAAGTCAAGTATTAATAAGAAACGAAAGATTGAAGATGAATCTGAAACCGAAAAAAAAAATCCATCATATGACTCAGAATCATTACGCAATGAGGGTGTAGAAAAGAAGAAATCACTATTTGATAATGAGATGACCAAGCGGATGCTTCAATGCAATAAGTCCTACGAACTCAGCAATCTCGTTGATGAAATTGCATTTCAAAGAATCAAGATCGAAAATAAAAATTATAATGAATTTTTAAAAAAACTTCTTCGTTTTTATGAAATTAAACGTACTATACTAAATGAAAGTGAGAAGGAGCTTCCGAAGAAAAAAACAGCTCAAAACTATGAATGGTTGTCAAATGTTCATCAGGGACCTTTGAAGGGTGTGAA